CCCTGAGCCGGTGAGATTTGAACCGCTGACCTGCTGATCTAGCAGTAGCCTGCAGTGCTGCATTTAACCACTGCGCCACCTTGGCTCTAATAATCTAAATTCAGGCAGGAGAGTGGGAGGGGGGGAGCAGGAAAAAGAAAAAGCGGGGGGGAAACCCACCTGTGCTGAGTCCTTATTCTTAAATCTAACCAAGTCAGCATAAAACCCCCAAACTGGTCTTTAAACATAGCTAATAATGGAAGAGTTCTGCTATCTGCCTTTTGTGCAGCTTAACCACAGCTGCTTTGCTTCATCCATTATAATTACACAAAGAAAGCAAACAGTTTTTGCTTCCTTGATTCCTCTTGATTATGATGGACCGCGGTGGCACAGTGGCTAGAATGCAGTACTGCAGGCTACTTCTGCTGATCACCGGCTGCCTGCAGCTTGGCAGATCGAATCTCACCAGGCTCAAGGTTGACTAAGCCTTTCATCCTTCCGAGGTCGATAAAATGAGGAGCCAGATAGTTGGGGGCAATAGGCTGACTCTGTAAAATCACTTAGAGCATTGTGAAGTGGCAAATAAACCTAAGTGCTATTGCTATATGATTTTAGGAAGCAGTTTCTCTCAATAATGCCCTTGGCCAAAGTCCTCAGTTATGTTTCTTTTTCAAGATGGAGAGGGTTCCGCTGCTGGCCATTTTACTGTGTCTGACCATTTCCTTCTGTAGCCTTTGCAGAGGCAAAAAAAGTGACTGGACTTGGTGTTGGATTTGCCCTTAAGATACTCTTCCTCAAACTGGGCAGTCTCAAAATGTGGGACTGTAATTCCCCAGAATTCTCGGCAGTAATCATGCTAACTAGGAGGTTCTGGGAATTTACAATCATGTCAGAAGCACCGAGGCACTTCTGGGTTGAAAGGGCTAGCCACTGACATCACTGTTTCCCAGGGGATGCCCAGTTGGCGGTTCCTTTCATGTCCCCAGCAGGAGCTGGAGCAAAGGATGGGAGCTCATCCCACCACACGGTATCACTTAGATCTTGAACGCAGGCTTGCTAACCTCCCACCCAGCATCCTAACCATGTAAGCCACCATATTCCTGTTCTAGGAGTTGAATTCCACGTTTCTCAAGGCTGTGCTAAGACTTTGGCAGCCATGGCAATTTGAGGAGTGCTGCTTGGAGCTTTACAAAAATACCCCTTGGGGAAAAAATGGTTGTTGACATATAAAATTATCTTCCTCTGAAGTCAGCCGATTGAGTTCAGCAGGTGCCTTTGAATGAATTGTTATGTTGATAAGAGAAGAGAATCCTATATGCTTTGCAATGAATTCTTCGGGGAAAGGCGTATGAATATTAACAAACTTCTTTTTTTTTTAAATAAACAGAAGGAAAACAATCTGAAACCGCTCCTGAAGGTTCCTTTTCTCAAGAGAGTCTTGATCGCGTTGAGGAAGAGAAGGAGGATGAATCTTCCAATGAGGAATTCTCTGCATTCCCCAGTGACGTTAGACCTTCTGAGGACAGAGAGATGCACCTCCTGGAACAGAAAGATGGCAAACATTTTTTTGAAGCTGGCTTTGATATGCCAGCTGCTCAGTCAGAAGAGGCTCCTGAAGAAGACAGCATTGACTTGCTTGGGCTAGATTCAGAGGCTAATCCTGAACTTCTCCAACCTCCAACTGAGATGAAGAGTTCTTCCAGCAATGCAGACTTGCTAAATGGACTCTTTGTTGGTAGCACTCCAGAAATTTCAGAAGATTCAGCTGCAGACCTCCTGGGTGGAGGACCAGACTTCTTTTTTGGTGGCCAGCCCCAGGCCTCAGCAAATTCCCAGGGCAACAGTTCCTCAGCAGCAGCCACCTCTTCTACAGGTAGGTACAACTCTGGCCTGCAGAGCAGCTGAGTAAAGATAGACAACTTTTTTTTCTTTCAGCATTGGTGCCAAAGCTGTGATTAAGAGGGCAGAGCTTCTGAATATCATCTGGCAAGCCCAGCCTTTTCTGCTGTTCTTTTGTCCATTCCCCAAGTACCCCGCCCCCCCAAAAAAAACCTTGTGAAGAGTTGTTTCTTCCATTAGTCTTTCCAAGGAACCCAGTTTTGATTTTGTGTTTTTTAAAAAAGAAAAATCTGCTCTAGAATATAAAATGAAATGTTTCAATAGATGCTTGATCTTGAAAACCTCAGCTTTTTTAATTTGATTTTTTAATGGTACAGTTCTAGCCTTTGTGTTTACATCACAACAAATCCTATATAAGTTTGTTAGGAGGTTTATGGAGGAGGAGAGAAATGAAAACAGATTACACTGATCATTAATATAGTGATTGCTTGGTTTAATTTATCAGTTGTTCCTGTTGTTATTGCATCTTGTTACCTTACCTTAAAGGTAAAGGCAGGAGCTGAAAAACAAGAGTGATTAAAATTTGGTTTAATAGCTAAATCTTAAGAAGTGTGTACTTACAGTTTAATATCATCCAAGTATAATGGAATCAGTATTAGCTTTATTCTTGGGTACTATCAATGTTAGCCATTACCAGTAGTCATTGTTTACCAACTACCTTGTTTAATGACCAAAGTTACAATAGCTTTTTTTAAAAGAACAGCTTTACAACAAATCCTTGCATTTACAGCTGTTGACAACGTCCTACAGTTATGTGATGCTGTTGAATACGTTTGGGCACAGTTCTGCCTTTTGGAAGCTGGTAGTAAAGTCATTGTGAAGCCATTTATGAGCTTCACAACCAGCTTCCAAAAAGCAGAATTAATGGAAAATGCAGAAGTGAAATCTCATGTCATAATTCTGAGCTATCTTGCTTAACAACCATGGTGATTTGCTTAAGTCTGGGATGGTCACATGATTTTTCACTTAATGACCAACCTGCAAACTTTCAAAATCAGAAATTACTGATTTAGTTTAAGAAATAAAAGTTTTATGCAATAATATTGGGCAGCATGGTGAATCAGTGGTTAAGATGCTGGGCTTGTCATTTGGAAAGCCAGCAGTCCAGGTTCAAGACCTGAGCACCACATGACAGTGAGCTCCTGTTACTTGCTCCAGCTCCTGCCTACCTAGTAGTTCGAAAGCATACAAATGTGAGTAGATAAATAGGTACCCCTTCGATGGGAAGGTAACAGCATTCCGTCACCTCGTGCTGGCAACAAGAACACAGAAATGTCTTTGGACAGTGCTGGATGAAGGCCTTGAAACAAAGATGAGCACCGCCCCTTAGAGTTGGCAATGATTAATTGAGTAAAATCTCAGAGACTCCTTTACCTTTATCTTTTTATTGGAAAGATAGGCCAGTGCTCCCATTATTTTTTTTATCCTGTTTCTATCTGTAGTATTAAGTGTTCCAGCTGGGTTCTGGTTGCTTGGTTTTTCTTGTTTAAGGGATCTTATTAATACCATGGGCTATTTCCAAATGGAAAGAGATTACAGAACAGGGGTGTCTTATGGATTAGGACTGTTGGACAGCATAATGGCACAAGGAAAGCTCTGTGTGAGCCAAAAATGCCTCCACTTTCATTCTTCATAAGGTTTTAAAGTATCTTCCAATGGTAAAATAGATTTCTGTGTTTTGTGCCATATGGTTTTAGTTAGTTTCAATCTGGCCCCTTCCAATGTGATGGGAAATTTGGTCATATATAGAGGTTGCCATGTTCTTGAAACTAATTCTAGTATATCAAATTTATGAAATTCAAGCAGGGGAGTTAACATTTTCTCTGAACATTAAATGATTTGTTTAGAATTTGGCAACCAAGGAGGAGTGCCTGTATGTCAAGGGAGACATTTAAGGCAGTCCATTCTGCCCAAGTCATTTGGTTCTTGATCAGTCTGTCTCCTTTCTGAATTCTCACTCACTGCATTTGCTCTCAGAATCTGACTGGAGAAAGGTGTGATTAGCTGCACATTCTGAGAAACTATAAAAAATTGTGTGTTCACCCTTGCGGTTTTCACTTTGTCTTGTGTCAGCTGCAAAGTTTAGCCACCTTATATGCTCTCTCCTTCAAAATCTCAGAAGGATGTAAAATTAAGGATGGACTCTCCTAATGGCTGCAAAAACAGTGGGGACTTTCATTCTACTCTGATAAAGTTTGTGTGCAGTGTGGTTTTACCTATTGCAATCCTTCCCTCTCAAACTGTTGTAAATGAAAGTTTGCCCTTGAGGAAGCAAGATTGTTCTAATGATTGCAATACATCTTGACATCAGATGAGGGCAACACTGCTGTAATTGTTTGGAACAGGATTGTGTGTTGGGTGTTTATGAAAAATGCCTTGTTTATTATTATATTCATCTACTGATGCGTGATGATGAAAACGATCAGGTTAGTTTTGCTTGAAATGATGAGGGGTGGTTGGGGTGGGTTGCTAATTCGAGCAGCTTTGCTGTTGTGTTCACAACAAACATTACCACATCTTGATTTCTAGGAGCCTTGACTCTTAAAACCTTTAAGTGCCAAGGTGGAACATCTGCCAGATTTCCCGCTGGCCACAGTGTGGCGTTCCCTGCTGGATATAAATACGGTTCCTGAGCAGTTGCAGTCAGTTTTTGCTTGACAGTAGGCAGTGAAATACCTTCAGGCTGAGAGCTGCTCTTTTTATTTTTATTTTCTTCCCTCCCCTTTTGTAGCTTCTTTTGAAAAAAAAAATCAATAATGCCTTCCCTTCTGACTGGTACAGTATGACTTTTCTCCTTCCATTCGGGTCACTAGACCACAGGGGTTTATTATTATTATTATTTTGTAAAGGAAAACCCTGTTAGGTTTCCTTCTGCTGATGAGTTTTGTGCTAATTTCAGTTTGTCAGCCGGCTTTCTTTTAGTATAAAACTTAGTTGGCTTTTTTGTGGGTTTCAGAGGTTGCAGCTTTTTCTTTATTGAGAGTCAAGAGACTTTTAAGAAGCTGAACGATACAGATTGGATACAGATTATCTGAGGCATTATTACAGAACCTTTTGCTCTTTCTGATGATTAGAAATCCTTTTGTTATATAATAGCAATTAAGCCCTAATAATACTCCTGGTTTGTGTAAAGCTCAGCCTTAACATCTAGAAAGAATTTATCCTTAATATGCCTTGTGTTGGCACCTCCTTAGGCTTCCTATATTTGCCAGAGCAGAAGCTTAACTTTTTGCTTGCCTTATTTCTGGAAGCATCTCAAGTAACACCAGCAATGTTGTGTTGTGTTTTGTTTTATCTTTAGCTGACCAGTTTGACCCATTCACAGTCAATGCAGACAGTCCAACTCTTACCGGTCCTGATCTATTTGGTGACTTTCTTAGTTCAAATGCACCAACTGTACCTGCTATGTTTCCTTCCACACACAGTGCACCGCCTCCTTCCTCTAGCACAGACTTCCTTAATTTGGGTAAGTGGATGTATCACTTGGTTTCCTTCCTTCCTTCCTTCCTTCCTTCCTTCTCTCTTTCCTTCCCTTTCTCCCTCCCAAAAATCACATGGCCTGTTGAGTGAAACCTGATAACTTAGATCAGTTAAAGTTGGATTAGTGTCAAACAAGCGTAGTGATGGCACTGTTATGGACAAGCCTTCCGTTGTCGATATAAACTTGTAACTCCCAATATAAACTGGGGAATGTTTTGCAAACCGACGTCTTCTTTTACCTTCAGATTTTTTAGGGGGTGCAAAACAGAACTACGTTGGGGAAAATCATCCCATAGTATAAAATTTTAAAATATAAAAAGGCACTCAAGACTCTCTCGTTTTGTCCAGTCAGCTGTTAGAAGGTGTAATATGAAGTTGGTGCCCTCTTTAAGTAACAGCCTTTATGGTTCTCGAGGTTCTGTTTTGTGTAACGTATTTCTACGTTTTGCCTTAAAAACAGGAGTGGGCAACCTTTCCACAACCCTTGCGAAAAAGGGGGGAATGGTTGGTAAGTGCTTCAGGAATAATAGAGGGTCCACTTTTGTTTAAGAGTTGAAACTGTGTAAGAACTAAAGACACGCTATAAAAAAATTTTATAGGCCCATTTCTGAAGGCCTTTGACTCATCAGTCATCCTTAAGGGGCTTCTGATTGGTGGTTAGCTGTGAAACTTCTCAATAGCCAATAAGATGATGGAAAAGGTGGAACAAGCTTGTTTTCAACACCCTACCAGTGGCTTACACCTTTTCAAGCCTATTACTTTTAGCGATCAGCTTCTTGTACCGTTACTGCTTAAAGCTGATTCATACTCTGGAGCTAAACTAATTTGCTTATGATATTCTGAAGAGTGATAAAAGTCTCCTGTAACTTTCTGTAATTTAAATGTGCCCTGTTAGACATTTAAGAACATAGTAAAGAATTGTGGAGTGTTGCGTTGATGGCTCCTGAGCTGGAATCCAGATCTCTTATCAGGATGATAGTGTATTTCATTGTCTGTGATTTTTTGTTTTCTCTCCCTTTTCAACTGTTAGTCAGAATTCTATGGATAGTAGGCATGTCTCCCCTCCCCACAACAGTGTTTACTTCCTGTCAAGTATTTTGTGCTTCTGAAAATCTTGGTGCTCTTCCACCCACCCCCAGCCAACTAAAATTTTAATCATAGAATCGCTGAGTTGGAAGACACATTTTAGGGCATTGATCCAACTCCCTTATTCAGTACACAAATCCAAATTAAACCATTGCCCCTATTCAGTATGTCTGTATATTGTTTACATATATTAAGTGAAGAAGACCACACTACTTTAATTAACTAATTCCATTTCTTGACTGATCTTACTCTATTGTACTTTAATTTACAATCATTATTCCATGTTCTGCACAATAGGCATTTTTATTCCATGCTGGTACAGAGAAATATTGTCTTGGCTACCTTCTGCATGATATCTCATGAGGTATTAGATGAATCTTGGAGCATTGCTTTCCATATTCTCTTTTCAAGAGTTTATATTACCATTTTTCTCAATCTCTGCTTGTCAGATCTAATTTCTGGTCCTCTTATCATTCCCATTGCCCTTCTTTACTTCATTCCAATTTGTTTCAAACTTTTGAAAAACATGGTGCATAGAATTAGATGTAAGATCTGAGATAATATCTGACCAGTATGGAATTCTTCTATTTTTCAAAAACGTTACATTAATGCAGCCTAAAACCCAATTTGCCCTGTTTGTAACCATATTGCTGTTATGTAGGCTTCAGTTAAAACCATTTTAGGGATGTAAGAGGCAGCATGCAGAAAAATAATACGAGTATGGATTATTTCTGTTCGATTGGATATCTAACCTATAAGAACCAGGGATACAAAGTATTTAATTATACTCAGTAACTCATTTGAGTTCAAATTCTCTGGAGTCTAAAGAGAAGACAGACTAAATGAATAACAAATGGCTCACTGTATTAAAATATGAATTTATTCTCAGTGTTGAGTATCTAGAGAGTTACCTTCTTCATTTATTTATAAAGAAAAATAAGTGCTAGGGAAGTAGGTATAGACAACTGTGTTGGCTACGATTCTACATCTTTCTTCCCATGTTGACAACAACACAATTAACTCTGATCTTTACCTAATTCAATGCTCCAGTGCATTTATTTTCTGGAAAAGTGTATTTGTCCTTTTTCATTCTAAAAAAATAATTGAGAAAAAAACATACATATCGTAAAGCAATGAACCATTTTTGTAGTTATTACTGATTTGCATAGATTGTCCATCAAGCAGTGAGAGGGCTGATAGAAATATTTTTCCCCCTTTTCTTGGCTAGTTCACAACAATCATATGCATCTAAAAGTGTCTTGTGTATAAAAACATTTGGTTTCTATAACTGAACATAGGAGTAGCTCTCATTGGATGGGTATATGTTTGAATAGGCAGAAAAGCAAATACAGAAAGTCTGAATGCCCTTTTTATATTAAATCTGAACTGAGGAGGCACCACATGCAGTTGTTATTCAGGCTCCTCTCCTGATTAAATCTATAAATAACAGTTTGTGGAGTCCGGAAAAGATCTCTCTTGCCGGCTTAATAGCACATCTGCTCCATGCTTTGGATAAAGATGCTGAGAGCTTTTCTAAAGTGATTGCGTCATCTGTTAGAGGGCTTTAGTAGACTTGCTGCAAGACCGGGTTAGACAGGGACTTTTTGACCTCAGTGAAATCTTGTGTAACCAATATAATTTAAACTTTTGTGGCTGTCAGGTTTTTTTTTCAACTATCCAATCTACATGCACATTTTTTTTAAAAAGAAATAAACCATCCCCATTTCTATTAAAATAGCAGGTGCCTTCTGCCTGGTTATTTACAGGAAATCTTTTAGTGTAACAGCCAGGAGGGAGAAAAAAGAAAGAGCAATAAAGTCAAAATGTACATTAAATTTAAATGGGCATTACATACCTGCATAAATTGATGAAGGGGGATTTTCCACCTGCAGAAAATGACAAATGAGAATACTATGCAGGAACAGAAGGGGTACATTGTATGAAAAGATTTCGGTCTGTTAATCTGTAACTGTTAAACTGAGGGTTTTATACAACCCTGAGTGGGTATCTAATTGATGTGTTACAAAATATTTCACTTCAATGGTGAAATAATTTTCACAGTAACCTTGGACAGAAGCATATAAGGAAATAAAAACAGTCTTCACTGCAGTTGTCTTTTTCACGGAATGGATTAAGGAATGTATCTGTTGAAGCTGTCCTCAGGTTGACACAGGCTTTCAAAACTTGAATTAAACTCTTAAAATTGCCAGCTGACATGGCTGGAAATATTGGGAATGCTGGTGTATGTAGTTTACCAACTTATGAAGGTTTATTCTCTGTCTGACTTTGACTCTGATAATCATTTAACATCTAGAGCAACTGACAATTGTGACTCCCCCCCCCCCAACCAACCATTCTGTTAATTCTCAGAGTAAGCTAAGGCCTTCTGGACATGAAATCTGAGAATGGCAGTCGATCTGGTTTATGCTAAATTTGGAAGGTAGATTGAAAACACTAATGCAGCCCAACCAGAAAGCCATTTGCATTTTTAAAATCAGTACTGTTAAAAGTCAGAACTAAATGTTTGAATGTTAAATTGAGAAAAGTGGAACATGCAGAGACCTCAAGTCATTTAGCTTAATTGACCTGAATCGGATGCTGGCAATTGTAGAACTGGAAAATTCAAAATAAGACCCAGGAAGGACTCGCCTGTTTACCAGTAGAACAGTCACATTAGCAGCCTCTTATACTCCAGTTATAGTTCTTGTATTGTGGATAACTTTGTGACACTGTATCGTTATACACTCTGATACAGAATAAAGCAGGTTTTTTAATCCAATATATCCACCAGCCACCAGGTTGGGATGGCTGCTTGGAATGAAGTTCAGATGTAGATGTAGATACAAATCCAAAATCTGAAGAATGCAGTTTGAATTTAAATCAAGGCTTGGAAGTGTTGCTGAACAGAGAGCAACTGTAAAATGAAATTGTCAAAGAGGCAGTTTAGGGTACTCTGTATGACTTGCCTAGATTAAAATATGACTTGTAAGATGCTGCCAAGAATCTCAATCTCTCAATGACTCTGGGCGGCAAATAACAGTTAACTTACATAAAATCATAATAGTAGCACAATAAACACAGATTGGCAAACAAGATAAAAAATTCCTGTGAGTGGAACAAAAGAAAGTTTTTTGGAAGCCAGACTAACACTGAAGTGAAATTGTATAAGGAAATTAAACCTCATTGTATCCCCCACCCCCCAAAAATGCTAGAAAATTATTTAAAACAAAAAAAGCCAACCACACAAAAAAAAGTGTGTGGTTTTTCTTTGTATATTCAATGGGACAGATGTCTATTACTTGAGTTCCAGTGAGACTTTGAGGTTGGGGGGCGGGGTGCTTGATTGGGAAGAGACCAGAAGCAACAATAGGATTTCCTACAAATATCATGCTATTCCTAAAGATTACATGACTCAAAGTGTGCTATTATAACCAAATTCCAACCATATAAGTAATCCCCGACTTATGATCATACGTTTAGTGGTATGTTTACTGGCAGCACTGAAAAAAGTGATGCGCTACCAGTCCTCACCTTTACAACCACCATAGTGCCCTGTGGTCACTGAGATTGCTGTACTATTAGACCCCTTCATTGCTGCCAGCCCCATGTGGTTTCCTTAGTTTATTGAGGAGATGGGAGAAATCAAGCAATTGAAAAATTGCCAAGAATGAAACCAAAAGTTGGTGCAACTGAGAACTAGAAGGAATCTATATTCAAAGTTACATTATAGCAATAAGAGCAAAGGAACCTGTCAGGGTTCCAAGAAACACCCTCTCCCGTTTCCCCACAGTAGAAAATGTGGCAGGCCTGAAATCCCAAAAAGTAAAAGATAGCTTCCAGGTCTGACTTGTAATATGCCTCTAGTTTTAATTTTACACGTTAATATACTTGACCTGAAAT